CCTGAAACATGGCAGCTGACCCTTGCCATTTCCATGACATGGCTTCACTTACAGCCAGATAAGAAAGAAGCATGTATTTCTTGAATGATTTCATTCTTATTCCTGAATTTCTTAATAGAGGCATAGTGCTGGTGTGGCAGGTATGCTCAGTTATACCCAGGATGAAGTAAGGGTCTGTTGGCAGGAGGGCATGCTTGAGATGTTATCAAAGCTTGGTTATTCCCAAGATTTTTGCTTTTACATTCTACCTTGATGTAAAATTAGCAATTTTTAACCTAGAGCCTATTATACAGAGTGAAAAAAGTCAGAAAGAGTGAAACAAATACCATATATTAACACATATATGTGGAATCTAGAAAGATGGGTACTGATGACCCTATTTGCAGGGCAGGGATAGAGACATGGAAAACAGACTTATGGACTGTTCCCCTCTCCTTATGGGGGAAGTAGAGGGTGGGGTGAGCTGAGAAACTAGCATTGAAATATCTATACCACCATGTGTAAAACAGATAGCTAATGGGAAGTTGCTGTATAACACAGGGAACCCAGCTCCGTGCTCTGTGACAACCTAGAGGGATGGGGTGGGGTGGGAGGTGAGAGGCAGGTTCAAGAGGGAAGGAGCATGTGTATATCTATGGCTGATTCATGTTGATGTATGGTAGAAACCAATACAACATTTTAAAGCAATTATCCTTAAAGTAAAAATTAATAAAAATTTTAAACATTAGCAATTTTTACCTATCTCAGGAAAAATATTACTATGAAATACGTTTCACATTCATTGATATTGATGGGGACTCAGTAGACTTCTGGGAGTGATCCCAGATTGTGTCCACATGTGGGGGTTCGGACACACAGGAATGAAGTGTAGAAGCCAACAGACACTTAATTGCAAGGGGGATGAATATTTGAGGACCTGGAAGAGAAAGGAGGACACCACAGGGAAAGGAGGACAAGCCATGGTGAGGCTGACTCAGCAAAGGGGTTGAGGATTGAAGGGGACCAGCATTTCATTAGTCACAGTATTTCGCTGTGTCTTGAACCTGCCCAAGCCCAGTCTCCCTGGAAATGTATATGTGGACTGAGGAAGAAGGGACTGTGCGTGTCTAACCCCTGGGGACCTGAGGATCTGAGTAGCTCTAAGAGAGTGGGCCACCGGGCAGGACACAGGTGAGCTCTGGCACCTAGGAAGGCAGTTGAGAGCATCAAGGTATAGTCAGTACTGAAGGTGAGTGGTTACAGGAGCAGGATGATGAGCATGGTGTTCATCCCCATGGGGTGGGATCTGAGGTGTAAGGTTAGAATTTTAATTTGCATCCCCCCATCTCCAGAGCAATAGAGCATCTTACATCAAGTATGTTAGTCATTCATTCTGCCTTCCTTTTCTTTAAACTGGATCTCCATATCCTTTGCTCATTTTTACTATTGAGCTTGACTTTTGGTGATATTTAAGAAGTCTTTTATAAATTGTGGGACCAATCCATGTCAATTAAATCTGCTAAAAAAAGTCTTCTCCCAGCCTGTCACTTGCCTCTCTCTCTCTTTTTTTCCTTCCCTTGTCATGCAGGAAACTTTAATTTTATCATTTTTATCACATTGTGGTTTTTTTTCATATCTTTTAGGTCTTATTTGGGACATTCTTCCCAGCCCCAAACATAGGATAAATATGTTATTCTATGTTTTCTTGAAATATTTTCAGAAATAGGAATTCTTCTATTACTAGCAATTGTTGCCCAATGCTATGGTTTTGAAATTCATCTATGGTCATGAATGTAGCTGTGGTTCATGCATTTACTGATCCACAGTATTTCATTTTATGAATAGATTATGATTTGTTTATGCATTCTATCAAGGGCCATTTCATTTGTTTTCCTTCTTTTACTATCATAAACAAAACTGCAATAGCATTCTTGTACTGGCTCTTGGGGCATATGGGTAAGTTTCTGAGAGTGGAATTGTTGGGTCATAGGTTATGCCCCTCTCTTTTCCCCCACATTTTAAACTTTACTAGATGAGGAAAATGATTTTTAAATTGATTGTATCCAGTTACATTCTCTCCATAGACGTAGAAGCGTTGACATGACCTTATGATGTTGCCAACACTTATCTTTATTATTTCCTTCCTTCTGGTTTCTTCAGGTTTACTCTGGTTTTTCTTTCTCAAATGTCGCGGGTACTTTGCTGATTAATTTTTAGTCTGTTTTTCTTATTTGAGCCTTTAAGGCTACAAAATCTCCCTGTATGGCTTTAGCTGCATCCTATAAGGTTTTTTTAAATGATTTTTAAAACATAATCAACTTATAGAAAAGTTTCAAGCACAGTATAAAAAAATCTGTCATGGGACGTCAGAGACCAGCCAGGGTAAGAAGGATGTCTGTCTGTTTAGCGGAGAGGCGGCAGCAGTAGTGGGGGGTTGGTTTCAAGGGGAATGGATCAAAGGTGTCATTATATTAAGGTATTAAGAATAATGGGAGTCATTATTAGGTTTCTTACTATTGGAGAAAGGAGTTACATCAATGGAGACAGAGATAACTAGAATGAACCCTTGATGTTGGATTGGAACTGGAGGCATAGTGTGAGGTCTGTGGGTACCCTTCCTTACCCAGCGTGGGCTCTGACACCTGGCACTAGTCTGCGTTCTGTGTGGTTGCCCTCCTCACCCTACTGGGACTCTGGCACCTCCCATCAGGCACCCCCCTAGCCTAGTGGATGCCGTGCTTACCGGCTTTGGGCTTCAACATCCCACACCAGGCTTCTTCCTTGCACAGACGCCATCCTCTCCTGGCTCAGGCTCTGACTCCCCACGCCACGCGGCACCCCCTGCATGGACGTGCTCCTCATTCTACTTGGGCTGCGACGTGGGTTCCAGGTCACCCCTCTCAGTGGACACCTATCTTGCTTTGTCCACCTAACAGCTTAAAACTGAATGGGTCAGGAAGGGAAGTGCAGGAGAAAGGCATCTTATGTATTGATACATAAGACTTCCAGTATCGTTCAGTGTTAAATAATTTCTAATTTCCCATTTTAATTTTTCTGTAATCCATGTGTTGTTTAAAAGTTTGTTTTGAATTTTACAAAAAATGTACAGTCATCTTTTTGATTCTTGATTTCTATCTTAATTGCATTGTGTTCAGGGCATATGGTTTACATGCAACTGATTCTGGGTTTTATTATGATTTGCCTCGTGCCTAGCAAATAATTAGTTTTTGCAAATGGGGTATGAGTACTTGAAATATTTCTAGGTGTTGGATATATGGTCCTATACATGTTCATAAATTAAACTTAATTGTATTGTTTAAATTCATTGTCCTTACTAAACTTTTGTCTGCTTGATCTATCAGTTACTGAAAGAAGTATAATAAATCTGCCATTATTACTGAGGATTTATAAACTTCTCCTTGTAATTCTATCACATTGTTTTACAAATTTGGATCTTAAACTTATGTTATTACAATTGTCATAGGTTCGTGGTGAATTGCACCTTTTACAATTATGTAGTTGCTGATATTCTTAAAAATGCTTTTTCTCCTTAAAATTTAATATAGCCATAGCAGCTGGGTTTTTTTTGGGGGGGGGGGGACTGGGATTAGCATTTTTTGGTATATCTTTTTCAGTCTTATTTTCAACCTTTCTATTTCATATTTTGACTGTTTCTCTTATAAATCTTACACATATAGTTGTGAATTTATAAATTTCTGTCACTTTTGATTTGTGCACATATTTTTAAAACCAAATTTGGCAAACTTTTAAGTGCTGATTTTAGACTGCTACCATTTGTTATAATTCCTAATATAGTTCTTATTTTCACCATCTTACTGTATGTTTTAGATTCATCTTGCCTTTCCTATGCTTCTTTTTAAACCCCCTCTTCTGCTTTTCTATCTTTTTCATCTTGTTTTTAAAAATTTCCCTCTGTGTCATAAGCATTTGGTGAATGCTGACCAGTGTGATTTGATTTGCTGGTCAAGAAAACCCTGTGCTTTATGTTATTTTTCATGGATGTATATTTGGAAATCATGGATTCTCTTTATCTTTTAGCTCTAAATATTCAGAACACTGGCTTCCTCTGGGCCTGTCAGAGCTCTTAAACTGAAAGCATTCAGTTTTGTATCTTACATTTTCTCCACTTAATTTTTCTCCTCTCTATGCCACGTGATGTCTGTATAAGTCTACTGTTGTCCATGAATTTGTTTCCAATTGCTTTGTTATTATAAGTAACTATGCATTGAACATCTTTGTGCCGGCATCTAGCTCCTCCCTTAGGAAAAATTCCTTGAAATTGCTGATCAGAAGGAAAGAACCATTTTAAAGGCCTTGCCTCCTGAAATATCACACTCTTTTGTTGCGGACACTTTCCAGCAGAGTATAAGAATGCTCAGAGAACATTCCAACAACTGGGTTCCCAAGGTCACACTGACCCCTGGAAGGGGAGTAGGGACGGTCAGGCTTCAGGCAGAGCCCCAGTCAGTTGCAAGACAGAGGTAGGGGTGTGGTAGGCTGCTGCCCGGGTCCTGGGATCACTGGGTGGGTGTGACTTGGGACTGGGATCTTGGGATGAGCCCCTTCTCCCTCCCACCTGTTGTCCGTGTTTTGGACTTTGCACTCAGACCCTGCATCAAGTCCAGACAACGGATCAGAGAGGGCAAAACACTCCCGCCGCCGTCACCCCCCTCCCCACCCCAGCTCCAGAAGGTCTTGGGGAAGCAGGCCCTGGGATAGGAGGGAGGAGCCCTTGGATACCGCCCCCCACCCCCTCCCGCCGCCCTGAATGCACTTTTCGCTCTTCCAGCCGGTAGGCAGCCAAGTGCGCCGGCGCTGTTCGGTGAAATCACCGCCATCCGTCGACTCCGTGGCGGATTTGCGTCCCCCGGAGGTCTAGGGGGAAGCTTCTCTCTGCTCTGGAGCTTTCCCCCTCGAGTAGGAGGGGAGGGCGAGGGGGCCGAGGCTGAGGTCTCCGCCGGCCCGCCCGCCGCCGCCGCCGCCGCCGCGGAGCTGCCAAGATGCCGCGGCCGCAGGAATCCGCCGGGGAGCGGCGAGGAGACCTGGGCCGGGAGGGGCGCGGGGACTCGCCGTCCTGCCGCCGGCCCACGGCACAAAGCCCGCCCTTGTTCGGCTGCCTCGGATGCGTGCCCTGGGCCCAGACCTCCCGGGGTCCCTCTCTGTCCGGACCACGCCGGGAAGGGGACGTGCCGCCTGCCGCAGACTCCTGCTGGGGATGGGGGCGGGGGTGAGGAGGTGGGGCTTGGGGGTGTGGACCGCTCTGCCCGGGAGCCTGGGGCCCAGCCTCGGGCTCTGTTCTGCCAAGGAAGGCCAGGCCCAGACCCTGGTTGCTTGGCACCCCGCCGGTGGGTTGCTCCAGCTGTGAGTCATGGACATTCGCCACCTACTGAAGCAGCAAAGGTGCCCTTGTCACGGTCACCCTTGCAGTGGGCAGGATGGGGTGCTGTGTGGGAGTGGACTGAGGTGAACGCAGGCGCCAGGCGCCTTCTCCTGTGCTGTTTTGACAGAGCATCACTCTGGGCAAGCCTTGGCCAGACTCATCCTCAGAGGTGGATCTGCCTCCCCTCCCACCCCCACCATACAGCCTTATCACTCACTGCCCACCATCCCCCAGAGGGAGTGGCCTGTTTTTCCAAAACCTGGCAGATGGCAATGAGGTATTCTCCAGCTGGAGTCCCCTGACCCTGCCTGGCATTCCTTACACATGCATCCCTCATGATGGGCAGCCATCCCTCCATTCACTTCTCTACTTAGCATCCACTTATTGAGCGCCTTCTGTGTGCTAGGCACTGTTCCAGTGATGCAGGGAATACATCAGAGAAGAGGGCAGACCTAGTCTCAACCCACAGGGGTGCTGTGGCCTGACTCCAAAACCTGTTCCTTCACAGTTATTACGTTGACTTTGGCAGATCATTCCCGCTGGTCTTAGCTTTCCCTAGCTACAGATTCAACATAACCGGTCCATAGGACAGACCCGCCAGTCCTGGGCAGCTTTTTTGCTAAGGATTCTCTAATGGGTGACTAGCAAAGAGCACGGTGCAGAGTTAAGGGAAAAAAAAAGACATTCCAGGAAAGTGAGAAGAAACGTGTGTGAAAAATAGACACCACACTAGATCAGCATTCAATCAAACCAGGGCCTGCTGAGAAACAAGTACAGACCTGCTAAGTCTCGCTGAGTCCTGTTATTTTTACTCAGCAAATTCAAGCAAGATTTCATGGTCATGTCCAGAGGGCTGGAAAGAAGAAAGCTATGATCCTCAATGGCAAAGCTGATCCCTTTGCTGTGTAGGCTGGGGGTGAGGCTGGGAGTTTGGGGGGAATGGGGTAGGCCTGATCTGAACACACAGGCACTGGTGACAGCACAGGCTGATTTTAAACTCTCCATTTCCACCTCCTTCAGTGGCTCCCATGACCACCAAATTGAGTATAAAATTCCCAAAGGCCACAACTGTAACTTGAACTCCAGTCTGTTTTTCTTCAGTTCCATCTCATGTGACTTTTCTCACCTGTCCCCAGCTCCATCAAACAGGACAACACGTTGCTGCCTCTGTGCCCCGCTGCCTTGGCACTTGATAACCATGGTAACGGACACTCGCTCAGCACTCACTACATGCTAGGTCCTGAGCTTCCCTTATCTCAATCCTACAAAGTAGGAAGTGTTATTACCTTGACAGATGAGAAAACTGACACCCAGAATAGTTCCTGACTCACCCAAGATTACCCTGTAAATGGGAATTTGAACACAGTCCTCAGAACCAAGGGCTTCCCAAGTGGTGCTAGTGGTAGAGAACCCACCTGCTAATACAGGAGATGTAAGAGACTTGGATTTGATTCCTGGTTCAGGAAGATCCCCTGGAGGAGGGCATGGCAACCCACTCCAGTATTCTTGCCTGGAGAATCCCATGGACAGAAGAGCCTGGTGGGCTACAGTCCATGGGGTTGCAAAGAGTTGAACATGACTGACGCGACTTAGCACACATGCATGCATGCATGCCCCAGAACCTAAACACTTGACAATTATCGAGATCTTTGGAATCACAGTGATGTGTCCTGTGTGATCTCTAGTAAATTGATGCTATGAGCATGCTGGAAGTTTGGGGTGAAGATACCAAAAGCAAGAGATGAGACCAGTTGGCCTGGATCTCCTGGGAGCCCCCAAATGGTCTCCTGTTTTAGATCGTTCTCTCTTTCCCCACCTGATGTTCATGAAGTACCGCACCTTCTCCTCTAGCTGCCCTCCACCCCGCCGGCTGACTTGATGGAGCACAAGTTCCTGGGCAGTGATCAGCAGCATCTTCGCTTCCCCGCCATGTCAGTCTGCAGAGATGGAGCCACTGTCCTGGGGAACGGTGTGTTGTGATTGTCCAGTCTCTCTGAAATCCTCACCCTGGCCAGTCAGGGCTTTTGTTATATGTAAGATAACTGTCATGACTCCCTGCCATAGGAGGGAGACGGTGAAAGGGAGAGGGTGGTGGGTCAGGTGACGTACTGTGGCCATAGAAAGGAGCCTCTCAACTTCTGACAGTATGTGTGTGTGTGTGTGCTCAGTTGCCGAGTCATGTCTGACTCTTTGAGACCCTTTGGGTTGTAGCCCACCAGTCTCCTCTGTCCATGAGATTATCCCGGTAAGAATACTCGAGTGGGTTGCCATTTCTTCCTCCAGGGCATCTTCCCAACCCAGAGATGGAACCTAAGTCTGTGTGTCTCCTGCATTGCAGGCAGATTCTCTTCCGCTGAGCCACCGGGAAGCCCAGCTTCTAATGGAGAGCAGCACCCAAACCAGGGGAAAGGATAGAAATGTTGCAGTCCTCTATGCTCTTCCAAGTTTCCAGGAAGTCCCCCGAAGCGCCAAATTGGGAGTCCAAGAGAGCAGAGTAGGTCGTGGGCTGGTGGAAGGAAAGTCTTTTGTTATAGGACTCCCTAGGCTTTGCCCACTGCCCATTAGGCCCAAAGGTCAAGTGAGGCAGTTGAGAAAAAAAAAAAAAAATCCTCACTGTGAAGTGTCTGAGGCCCTTTTGAGATGCGAGAATGGCCCCCTTTCAGCAGCTCTGCTTGGAGCCAGGACAGTATTCCCAGAGGGAGCAGACTGCTGAATGATCATCTGTCTGCCCAGATGGACCAAGGCCTGACCTGCCAGAGAGGAGACTCTTGATTCTGGTTTCTGTTTTCGAATTCAGGGACTCTGGAGTACTTCAATAAATAAACACCTATTTATTGAGCTCCTACTGTGTGCGAAGCTTGGTGAAGGACACAAAGAAGCACTGATTTGAAAAACCACAGATCAGAATTTATGCATGCAAATGAGCTTGCTCCCTGGTACTCACATATCCAGGGAGGCCACCACTATTTGAGGAACTACTCCCAGTGATCTTGAATTTTCTCAGGGAAGATGGTGGATGTTTTAAAATTAAAAATAGCTAATGGTCATTTGGCACTCATTCACCCATTGCTTACTATGAGCCAGTCATTGTTCTTATCGCTTGGGGATGAGAAGGTCCTGAAAGTGTTCATGGCTTGCTAGGGGCCATCAGCAGGTTGGCCAGCCTGGTGACCAACTGGTCATCCTTCCAAGAGGCCCCTTGACCCACATGGTCTGGAAATGGTGCCAGCTCTCAAGGAGCACAGCTCAGGCCTGGTGTATGATGGCAGGAAATGACAATGCCCAGGGGTTAAGCACAAGGATAGCAGCTTGGGGATGCTGAGGGAAGAGAGGAGGGAGCCCTAACCACACACAGGAGGGATGGAGCATCAGTCAGGGCTTTCCTGTAAAGGACAGCAATCGCCAGTGTTTACTGAACACTTTTTATGTACTAGGCATGAGGGTAAGTACTTTACCTGGGTTAATTATCTTGCTTTATCATCACTGCCCTTCTGGAGAGATACAATGGGACTTCCTGAGGAGGAACCCTTCCAGTCTTGGAGGAGCATGGCTTTGGGAGGCAGACAGACTTGGGGGTGCATCCCAGATCTCTCTCTTCTTGCTGAGGGACCAACCTTTAGGCACTTACCTCTGGGCATTGGTTTCCTTATATGTAAAATGGAGCCATTGAGACCAATTTGGCAGTGCTATTATGAATACTTGAAAAAGGATAATTTATGTAAAGCATTTAGCAAAGTATCCACTTGATGACGACCAGTCCTCTTTTCTCTTCTTAAAGAAATTATTCAGAAGGGCAACACTGACACTGATAGACTTGGGAAACTAAAGTTGTCATGATCCTAGCCGTCATATGCGTATATGTGTTTTTAGTTGCTCATTTGTGTCCGACTCTTTGTGACCCCATGGACTGTAGCCCACCAGGCTTCTCTGTCCATGGGATTTTTCAGGCAAGAATGCTGGAGTGGGTTGCCTTTTGCTTCTCCAGGGGATCTTCCCAACCCAAGGATCGTGGAGTCTCCTTTGTCTTCTGCATTGCAGGCAGATTCTTTACCTGCTGAACCAATGGAGGTGGGCCTAATTAAAAATGCAAAAACAACTGGCTAGATCAGAAGTTGGCACAAGAACCCAAGGAACTGACTTTCAGACCTGGAGAAAGGACTGGAAGGGAGGGGAAAATAGCCATTATTTTAATTTTTGCTGATGTACCTGAGTATGTTTATTCCCTGGCTCCCACAGAAGCGCTTTGCTGTCTCTCTGGCAATATTATAGTGATACTACACATCAGTTGGGCTACCCAGGTGACACAGTGGTAGAAAATCTGTCTGCTGATGCAGGAGATATAAGAGACATGGGTTTGATCCCTTGGTCAGGAAGATCCCCTGAAATAGGAAGTGGAAACCCACTCTGGTACTCTTGCCTGGGAAATCCCATGGTCAGAGAAGCCTAGTGGGCTACCGTCCATGGGGTGGCAAGAGAGTCAGACACAACTTAGCAACTAAAACAACACCATCAGTTATAGTATTAGTTTTCATATTTTGGGAGCACAAAGGGAGGCAGCTGAGAATACTAAATTCCCCCAGGTCCTAGAAGTGGAATCTCAGGATTTTTTTCTCTTCTTCCAGGTGTGGGAAGGCCTCACAGCCTGGGTGAGTCAACAGGGTCAGACTCAGAAGGATTGACTCAGGGTCCTGCCCCTCCCCTCTCATGACTGGCCTCCCTCATGCCTCATTCTGGGTGGGGTCTGGAATGCTCTGCTCACCCAGAGTCCAAATGCCACGTCCTGCCGAGCTCAGGAGGAATTTCACAGCCTTTGTACAAACCCAGCCTGGCAGAACCTGACCCCTGGCCTCTTCCTTAGGCTGTTTAACCTTCAACTGATGGCTCCCCAAACTCTTCAGGGGTGGAAGGGTGGAGCCATCCCCACACTCGCGCTGATCTCCGTGGCTCCCTGTCTCACGTGCTCCTGGGCATTTATACACCCGGTTCGGGTTGTTTTTTGCCCTAGGATGGGAGTTGTTGTGAAGTGGCTAAGTCGTGTCCGACTCTTTTCGACTCCATAGGCTGCAGCATGCCAGGCTCTTCTGTCCATGGGATTCTCCAGGCAAGAATACGGGAGTGAGTTGCCATTTCCTTCTCCAGGGCATCTTCCAGATCCAGAGATTGAACCTGTGTCTCCTGCATTGGCAGGTGGATTCTTCACCACTGAGCTGCCAGGGAAGCCCCTGGGAAGGGAGAGAAGTGGTCTAAAATCCTGAGGACAGTTGGGGAAGCACCGCTGGCTTTTTCCTCTTGCCCTCTTCCTTCCCCAAAGAACAAACATCATCAGGACACTGCTTAAAGTCAGATGACAAATGTTACCCTAGGGGGCAATATTTACAGTCTCTATCACAAGTAAAGTGATGGCATATAAAGAGCTCTTTGAGAAGAAAAAGAGCAAAAACCCAACAGAAAAATGGGTAAATGACATGAGCAGATAGTTATAGGAAAAAGAAAGGCAAGTGGCTGTTAAACATGTGAAACTGTGTTCAGTGTCATAAGCAATCAGAGAAATGCATATTAAAACTTCATTGAACTATTGTTTCTCACTTATGAAATTAGCAATTCAATCTGAGTCCGGGCTGGCTGATGTGCTGCTGTGAGAGTGCAAAACAGAGGGGAAGTTGGCAGGCTAACCAATTGGCATAGGTATTGGATTGGTCAAAAAGTTCATTTGAGTTTTTTGTACCATCTTATGGAAAAACCCAAACGAACTTTTTGGCCAATCCAATAGTTATCCTTTATCAATAGTTATCCAATGACCCGACAGTGTCATTCCAGGAATCTATCCTGCAGACAGAACTGAACAAATAAGTACATGGTTATTCACTGTGGCGTTATTTGTCAAAGCAAAAGATAGGAAGAAACCAAACACCCATCAAAAGGGGGCTGGTTGAATAAACTCTGGTATGTGCAGGTAGTGAATACCAGGCAGGTCTAAAAAGAACAAGGAAAAACCCCTATGAGTACATGTATATTGATTTCTAGGATATATTTTTAAGTGGAGACAGCAGGAGGCTGAACAGAATATATAATATTACGTTCTGTGTAAGAAAGAAATGAAAATAATAATTGGATATTGTTTGCAAAACAGAAACTAGAGAAAATAATTACATATTCAGTGGGGATGGGCTGCTAATGAACAGGGTAGAAAAGATAAGGATGATAGCAAGACATTTTCTGAGTATGTCATCTCATATAGTTTTAACTTTAAATATATTTGGCTGCTCCAGGTCTTAGTTGTGGCACACGGTCTCTTCAGGCTTTTTTTGCGGCATGCAGGATCTTTAGCTGTGGGGTGAGAACTATTAGTGGCATCCCAGGGATCGGTCGCACAGAGTCGTACACAACTGAAGTGACTTAGCAGCAGTAGCAGTAGCAGTTCTCTGACCAGGAATTGAGTCTGGGCCCCCTGCATTGAGAGCAACTGAAAGTTAAAACATTTAATTTTAACTTTTTGAGTATTTTATGTATTTGAAAGCAAAATTACTAGTAAATAAAAGGAAAAACTACCCTCTAAAGCTGAACAGAAACAGATGAACCTAACTCCATGTTAAATTTATAATATTACTTCATGGAGAAAGTAATTATTTCAAATAACTTTTAAACATAATATTCTGACTAGAGTAGAATATATTTTATGGATTAGAACAACTGGAAAAAATTCAAAATTTCACTTAGTAGGTTTATTGTTGGAAGTAATAGTAGTATTGTCATTTTGAAACTTTTATTTTTATGAAATAAAGCAAAAAATAAAATATACTAATTTTATTAGGAACCAAGAGTTTTAATATAAGAGAAAAAAATACAAATATAAAAATAAAAGAAATTAGAAAAAAATTTGCACTACTAAATTTGCATTAAAAATTATAATATAGATGCATATTTTTTAACAATTTATTTTCTATCTCTGTCCTTAAAGCACTTAAAACAGTGACACCCCA